GATTAAAATGCAGTGGTTGCCTCTCATTTTAAATGGAAAGAGCACAAGACAAAGCCTTAGTTTGTTTATATGAAGATATGTATTTTATTTGTGTTATTTATTTGATTTGGGGCTTTTTTCTTATTTCAATGTAGTTTTGTTATTTACATTTACATTATATTTAAATGTTGTCATTTAGCTGACACTTTTATCCAAAGCGACTTACAAATGAGGACAATAGAAGCAATCAAAACCAACAAAAGAGCAGTAGTATGCAAGTGCTATATTAGTATATTATTATTTCAATTTCACAAAGAAATGTGCAGCATTTTGTCCAAGCAATAATAAAAGGACACATTTAATTTATAATTTGTCTTAAATCTCATTTTGTAAAATAAATAAATAATAATAATCGTGAATCGAATCGTGAAATCAAAATCGTGAATCGAATCGTGAGTTGAGTGAATCGTTACATCCTTAGTCATCATGACAGTAAAATAGGGCATTCTAAGTCAATATACTGCAGTATTTCCTCTCAATCAGTACAAAATATGGTTAACACTCGGTCATGCATGAAAAAAAAAATACCGTCATGTACCGTAAAACTGGTATAATTTTGAAAAATACCGGGATATAAATTTTTGGTCATACTGCCCAGCACTAATTTATGTATTATTTTATTATTATTATTTTTTTACAAGGAATTATTTTCTTATCTCTTACATTGAATTTGCTGTAAAAAATCAAATACACTGCTGGACAATAATCAATCATTTGTAATCTATAATTTTTTCATAATGGCAATTTTATGATTGTTTTATATACTACAAAGAATTATTTCAATTTTCTGCACAGAATAAGGTAAAAAAATATATATATAATTTATAGTTTCTGTAGGCTACTGTAATAAATGATATGTCAATTAGCACTGCATCATTCATAAATTGTATTTATTTATTGTGTTTATTGTCTTAATGTTTCAGTTCATTCTGCTTTTTATGCAGTTTAGCTGCAGCCTGGTACGTCTGAGCGCGAGATCACTTCTCTTTCAGTGCGAAAACTTCTTTATCTCATTTTCATAAAATAAAATGCTATAGTATTTAATAGAGCCCGACCGATATGGGTTTTTTGGGACCGATACTGATATTAGGGAGTAAAAAAAAGGCCGATACTGATATATCGGCCGATATTCTTTGTGTATATTATAGTACAATACCAGTCAAAAGTTTGGACACTTTCCCATTCGTGTGTCCAAACATTTGACTTACTATATATAGAATACAGTATATACATAAACAGAATATATATACATAAACACATTTTTTGCAATGATCACTCAAATGTGGTGATCAAACACTTATAATGGTGACAGAGATATGTAAGGGCTTTTAACAATTTAACAAACTTGCGATGCGTGCGATGCACAAAGTAACGGGGTGTTAGTTGTAACACACGTGGTTTGAATATTTATTTTACCATAGTAACATTTAAATTCTGGCTTAAGTAAATTTTTTATCTCAGTTTTTATTATTCATTTAAAATTAGACAAATCTGCTATTATTTTAATCTCCAATCTGTTATTTATCAGTTCAGATAGTTTTTTAATGATTTGATTACTAACAGAAGACACTAACCAGTTTTATATTCCAGTTGCGCAGATGGGGCACGTTGTAACACTGCGTTATAATGTGCTATTCTATGACATTAGCGATGTAATTTTACGATTAAAACTATTTTGCACTGATTTATTGTGTTGGTTACATTTTGTTCCTTTGAGTCTTTGAGTTTGTATAAACATCAACAAGCTGAAAAATAAAACCAAAGTTTTTTTTTTTAGATAATGTAATCTTGTTAAAATTGATTTCATAAAATTGGTATCGAAAAAAGTATCGTTCAGGAACCGGTATCGAAGTCAAGGTATCGTATCGGTATCGATATCGAAAACTTTTGAACGATACCCAGCCCTACCTATGACAGTTGAATTCTCTGTTTTGTGTTATTATGCATGTTAGCGAGCAGCATCACAGGTTCTCGCTGCACTACATAACAGGTTGTTTGTGTCACTCGCACCATATGAGATGCGTCAGTCTCTCACAAAAACATAAAACACTGATTTCATTCCTCATATTTTTCAAATTTGATGTGTTAATGTGAATTATAATCCACATATTTGTCAGCACATGGAGAGAAAATGCACTTGATGACCTGTGAGTCACAGCAGATGTTTCTCTAGCAGATGGTTCGCATGTCTTGCATTTGACGCTGCTGTTCTTTCAGTTCAGTTATATTGTATGTCGCGGCTCCTAATGCAGCTACAAGCCAACTGGTGATTTACTCAAGCTTTTAGTGTTCATAAACGCGTGATAGGGACTCTCTTCAGCCGTTTATACAAAGAAACTGTGCATGAAGGACCAGAGTACTGATTAAATCAATTAATAATTTGGTTTAGTTTCCAAGCTCACTGTGAGTTTCTCATTAAAGCTGAAGAGCAGTGGGCGGCCTCTTTTAAAGCACTGATCCTATGTAACTCTGTCCTGATGCGGCTGATAACTCGTCTCTCTTTCTCTCTCCTGGGCTCAGTGTTTGATGACGGCGATGAGAAGACCCTCAGGCGCTCGTCTCTCTGCCTGAAAGGAGCGCGGCACTTTGCAGAGAGTGAGGCAAGTCCGCTTTCTGATTTCTCATTGGTTTAGATTCACATCATGACACTTTCACATCATATCCTGAAGTGAATTTGCTTGTGTCATAATTTAGGATGATTTAGAAACAGACTTTCAGTCATGCGCTCAGGTGATCTTGAGAACATAAGGATGAATTTACTGTTAATTAAAACAATATTTCAAAGAAAACATGTTTTGTTTGAAACATTCTGAACTTGAAAAAATAAAAAACAAGTTTCTTCATAAAGTGCCAGATTTTCATGGCAAACATCAGCTCAAACTGAAACAATAACAATTTATCAACTGTTGTGCTTATATGATTTTTATATGAGTTTAGCAATTAATCCAGTATATTAGGACATATATAATGAGTTCATTTTTCTGCATAGTAGGAATGACCCAAAATCGGAGGTTTCATTCCCAGATGATTATTAGAAACTGTCACATCTCTGTTTGCTAAACAGTGCGCTAGGAAATGATTTCAAACAGGTTGTCAGTAGTTTCAGGCCTGAAACTCTACGCAAGTATGTATTTCCGTTGCAATATTTTGATTTTATTTTTATATTTTCTGTTTTCACTTAAATTTTAGTGGAGGTTTTAACGTTTTAATTTAATCAGTTTAATTAAGTTTTCATTTTTAATTTAATTTTAATCTAGTAAAAAAATTTTTTTTTCGTATTTTTACTTGTTTTAGTTTTAGTTATTTTAGTACTGAAAGTTAAACCAAACTAAAATGAGAAATATTGCCTTGGCAAATATCTGATAATAAAAAAAGGAAAAATTGGAGGGAAAAATGCAGTAAAAATGAAGTAATGATTTTCTTCTTCTTTTTTATTTTTATTTTTGTTAAAGTTTTAATTAGCCTATAAACACTTCTTGGTGCACAAGTGTAATTTTATTTGTCATAAAAATTAGACAAAATAAGAAATATTAGTATTGTAATAATGCTTGGTGCACATTCTTAGCAGTGTTATTTTCGTATCGTTGAGATGGTATTATCATTTTATTAATATTTTGAAATCATTTTTATATTTTCAGTTTTAATTTAAATTTTAGTTAAAGTTTTAGTTATTATGTTGATGTTGTTTTTTGTCAATTTTGATCATTTTATTTCAGTTTAACTTATTTTACTACATCAAGTTAAAGTAAATGAAATTGAAGAATGTTGAATTTTTTTTTCAATGCAATGTGTTTATTTTATTTCAAGTAATGACACTGTATTATGGTTTTATTTTTATTGTAGTGCTGTCTGGTGAATCTGGTGTGTTTCTCTTCCAGACGCTCGACAGGCTTCCTCTGACAAACCCCGAACACTTCGGCACTCCTGTCATCGGCAGAAAGGGAAACCGCGGATGCCGACGCTCCAACCCCGTGTGAGCGTCTTTACATGGAAAAATTAACATGCTTTTACCAATGTTTCCTGCCAAACCCAATGCAAATCAACAAAATGTCTTTTTTGCGATCGTGCATATTTCGCTATTGAATCACAAAAAGCACAGTACTGCTTAAAGTTATTGACACATTAGTCTGATAAAGAAAATGTACCCCAGTAATGTGTTTTGTGTACGTCTTCATTTTTTTAAATGTTTTCAGTGTACAAGCGTTTACTGCATTTAAGTTCATATGAAATCAAAATCAACTCTATTTACTGTATTAAAACATGTTTTCTGCTCTTATTGTTCATCAGTGCATCAGGGTTTCTGATGGTCTTAAAAACTCTTAATTCGGCCTTCCACAAATTAAGGTCTTAAAAAGGTCCTAAACCAGAGCAGAAAGCCTTAATTTCATAAAGTCGTGGCATTAAATGTTGCATGTGCTGCAAAAAAAAAAAATATATATATATCTACCTCAGTATTTTAGTCTTGATTTCCAAAACAAATATCAAAACATCCTTAAATCAAGATACATTTACTTGAGATGCAGAATGAACATAT